GACCAGTAATATTTGGGGTCACAAGTTTTTGCCGTGGATATTTTGTGGGTCAGAAGATAAAAAGTTTGGGAACCACTGGGTTAAATAACAGGTAAAGTGGGTTAAATAACAGTATTTTAGGCTGCTGGACCCTGACTGAACCACATCAGACTGCTTTAACAGAACTGAGGGGGGCTTCATCTGTCCCCTCTTCTCCTGAGGAAACCCCACCGTTCCTGGTGGTCCTTTCCTTTGGGGGGTGGGGTCTTTAAACACAAACCAAATGTGTCTGAAAGCTAAAACAACAACAGCATTTTGTGTTGAAAACGCACGCCATGCCCTCATTTCACAACGTTTCCCCCCTGCTCCTTCCCTGCTCCTGAAGCCGTCAGGACGTGTGTACTCACCACGGAGGAGCTGGTCACTGTGGCCAATGAAGGGCTTAAATGTCCTGAGGATATCTGCATTTCTCACTCTGTTTCCTCCTGCAGACATGAAGTAATCCAGCAGCGCCTCCTCGGTGACGTCACTCATCTCAGCTGCTCCTCAGCGCCTTCACTTGTCACTGGTTTTAGTGTTTTTGCCTCCTTCAAACTGGTCCTCACTGAGCTAATTAGAGAGTGGAGATGTGTAAAAGCTTCTCTCCACCCAGAGGAGCAGCTGCGCCTCCTCCTGTTAACCCTTTAAACACCTCCTCCTCCTTCACAAGGAGCCTGAAGCATGAAGACAACACAGACAAACAGCTTCACTCAGGTCTACAGCCTTTTATTTATCATTAGTTTGTTTATGAGGCTTCAGCTCTATTTGAATAACTGTTTTAAAAGGCTGACTCAGGCTTTTCATGAGAAATATATCTGTACTATTCACCAGAGGTGTCAAAAGTACTCACAGTACTTAAGTAGAAGTATAGATACTAGGGTTTAAAATACTTTTTGTAAGTAGAAATATCATCTCAAGCATTTTACTCAAGTAAAAGTATATATATTAAATATACATACATACATACATACATGTACAGTATATATATATATATCCGTATATATATATATTCAATTTGAGTTTATGTCTTTTTTATTTTTAATTCATTTTTAAATGTTTTAAGTTGTTTTATTTTTGCTCTATTTTTACTTTTCTTTTGAACATATTTTGGGTATAAAAAGGGGCAGATATAAGATTTATTCTTCTTCTGCTTCCTTTCATTTTATTTGATTTTATTTTAATTGCATGTTTTTTGTACTTTGTTAATCTGTGTTACAAATGAAATGTATAAAGAACTACTACCACTACTAAAAAGTATAAAAGTATGGTAAAAATTACTTAAAGTATAAAAGTAAAAGTAATGAACACTTAAAAAAGCCATTAAGGATAAAGGTTCAGGCTGGGCCACAGGGTTCTAAAGCACAYTGGTTCCCAAAGTTGGGGTAAGGACCCACAGTGGGGTCCTGAAACATCAAGGTGGGGTCCTGAAAATATTTTTTGAATTAATTACTCACAAAAATGGMAMYWARRAMMRKTTTTTTCCTTTGTTTTTACAAAATAATAACGTTAGCGTACTCGAAATGGACAAAAATAGCATTATAAATAATGTTATATGCTCTTGTTTATTTGATGTGAAAACAATGTTTATCAGCCGACKACAGCTGGGGGCTCAGCTCAGGTCTCTGCTGCTCTTTTGTGTCAAAAGCCGAAAAGTTTGGGAACCACTACGTGTAAAGTTAACAAAATGGACTGTGTGTAGCTGGAATTATACAGATATTTGTAATTTTCTGTTAAGCTTTTAGGAGCATCAAGTGATAAAATATTAAAACCTGTCACTAACACATGCGCATTATTTATCTCTTTAGTTCACAACTTTCTGAGGGTAAAACCCTATAAAAAATATCCTCTAGCATTTTAGTATTTAGCTCACTGTTCTTACACTTTGCTAATTTTTACTAAATGATAATTTTAAGTGTTAAATAATATGCAAGTATTTATTCCTAAATCTAAATGTAAAAGTTAAATCTTACAGTTAAATGTTAAAGCTTATGTATTTCAGAATCGTTCTGATTCCATTGCAGAAATGAACACAGCCTTTACTGTTGTCTTCATGGTGCTGTGTAGATACCTTTATTTTCTGTTTGGGTCATATTTTTTAAACCGTTCAGTTTTCTCTGTTTTCTCTTTTAAGGTCTGGACTTTTCTACAGTTTGGTGGTCTTCATTCTCCTCTGGTTCTGGACAGACTCTAGCTCCAACATGTGTGGCTGGATAGTGAGGCTGGGGGGTCTTGTTTGGATTTAAAGAATGATAAAAGCATGATACGTCTACTTTAATATGAAATAAGGAGCACAGTTTAAGATGGTAGTTGGTATAAAGTCCTGCATGTGAACACTCACATGTTCACATGCAGTATTTGTTATATTACATGATATACTTATATTTTCAATGAAAATAAACAAAAATCATTGTGTATCATGTTTTCACTCATGTAGCCTACTATTGAGTAAATCCTAGTTTAACTCTGGGTCACTTGAGCACACTGCAGCCCTCAGTCTTCCAACTGAAGGTTTATGTCTGTCCCACTGAGCCAAAGGTTCCTTGTATGTGTTGTGGAGAAAAACTCAACTAATTTAATAATAATTTGATTAAAATATCCTCACAGTTCTGCACCTTTGTTTCTAAACATCTTTGGTTTTAAAGAATTCAGCTGGAGCTGCTTCGCTACAAACACATCATCATCATCATCATCATCATCATCATCATCTCTTTGGCTCTGAGCTTTGCAGCATCATGGTTTAGAACAGTGTTTTTCAAGGCACACTGCCCTGCCTGTTTTAGATGTTTCCCTGCTTCAACACAGCTGATTTCAAACTGATTGCAGTTCAACAAAAGTCTGTTAATCATCTAATCAGGTCTGTGATTATAAATCAAATAACATCCACAGTAAAATAATATTATTTCTAAAGGAAAGTAGATTATTTAGTAGAATCTACTGTTGTTTTGGTTTGTTTTGGTTTAGTTTGGTTTGGGTTGGTTTGGTTTAGTTTGGTTTGGGTTGGTTTGGTTTAGTTTGGTTTGGGTTGGTTTGGTTTAGGTTGGTTTGGTTTGGGTTGGTTTGGTTTGCTTTAGTTTGGTTTGGGTTGGTTTGGTTTGAGTTGGGTTGGTTTGGTTTGGTTTGGGTTGGTTTGGTTTGGGTTGGTTTGGTTTAGTTTGGTTTGTGTTGGTTTGGCTTGGTTTGGTTTGGGTTGGTTTGGTTTGTTTTGGTTTAGTTTGGTTTGGGTTGGTTTGGTTTGAGTTGGGTTGGTTTGGGTTGGTTTGGTTTGGGTTGGTTTGGTTTGCTTTAGTTTGGTTTGGGTTGGTTTGGTTTGAGTTGGGTTGGTTTGGTTTGGGTTGGTTTGGTTTGGTTTGGTTTGGTTTAGTTTGGTTTGGATTGGGTTGGTTTGGTTTGAGTTGGGTTGGTTTGGGTTGGTTTGGTTTGGGTTGGTTTGGTTTGCTTTAGTTTGCTTTAGGTTGGTTTGGTTTGAGTTGGGTTGGTTTGGTTTGGGTTGGTTTGGTTTGGTTTGGTTTGGTTTAGTTTGGTTTGGATTGGGTTGGTTTGGTTTGAGTTGGGTTGGTTTGGGTTGGTTTGGTTTGGTTTGCTTTAGGTTGGTTTGGTTTGAGTTGGGTTGGTTTGGTTTGGGTTGGTTTGGTTTGAGTTGGGTTGGTTTGGTTTCGTTTGGTTTGGGTTGGTTTGGTTTGGTTTAATTTGTTTTGGTTGGTTTGGTTTGGTTTGGTTTGTTTTGTTTTGTTTGGGTTGGGTTGGTTTGGGTTGGGTTGGTTTGGTTTGGGTTGGGTTGGTTCGGTTCGGGTTGTTTTGGTTTGGTTTAATTTGTTTTGGTTTGGGTTGGTTTGGTTTGGTTTGTTTTGTTTTGTTTGGGTTGGGTTGGTTTGGTTTGGTTTGGGTTGGGGATGGGTTGGGTTTGGCTTTACTGCCTATTCTCCAGATCCACACTCCAGTCCGATAAGTGGCGGTAATGCACTTAATACAAGTATACCAACCGCCCATAAAAAATTAACAGAAGAAGAATCAGGTGTGTCAAAGCAGGGAAACCTCTAACGCAAGGCAGCGTGCTTTGAGGACCAGGGTTGAAAAGCACTGGTTTAGAAGTTATTGGACTTAAATTTAAAGACTGACATGAAGAAGCTCAAAGTTAAATTTTATTTTAAAAACAAAAACAAAGGGTTGTGTCAGTAAAAGACTTACAGGACACAGAGTAGGAGATTGAAAGAAGCACAGGGAGAACCAGAAAGTGGCAGAGAAACCAATAATGCCAAACTGAGGATGGAGTGAAGACAAACATGGACTAATGAGGACAAGTGGCTGCAGCTGTGACAGGTGAAACAGGAATCAATTACAAGTCAACAAACAAAAATATTCATAAAAAACAAAAGCCTGCCAACAATCTAACAAAAAATAGGGTCAGACGTTCCGCTTTGCATCACAGCTTGGCTAACAGTTAATTAGCTCATTTAACTTGAAATAGCTTTTTTTAAGTACAAGTTTTTCTACCACAGTTTAAGACACATATTGTTGGAGTGAAGCACAGTAAAACCCAGTGTTTTACATGTTGTCACTGTTGCATTAGGGTCACAAGTTAAAACCGATGATAACTGATAAAGCTGCAGGGCCTTATAGCCCAGGTATTAAACACAGAACACATTGTCAGATTAATTTTCTGACTGTAAATATTAAATGTGCCAGACATACACGTTAATCCATCTGTCCTCCTCTGGTATTACTCCTCTTCCAGCAAGGCTCCATTTAATTTAGAATGATTTGTACTTCATGTTGCAGGCTGCTGCCCAGAGAAGACAATATTGTAATTACAATAAGCTTCTTAAACGCTGAGACAATTACTGAGGTGAGGAGTTCAAACCGTCGCATGAAGGTGGGTCTTTCAATTCAGAAAACAACACAACTTTTCTGAGAATAAAGACATTTGACCCTCAAGCGGATGCTTTGTGGGATGGATTTGTGCCATCAGAGAGTAGCTGGCAGAACATTCATCAGCTTCTTACTTTTTAGGGATTGTGGCTTTAAAAACAAACAAGAAGGAACTTTGCAACTGTCCTGTATGTGGAAAGTGCAAAATGAAATGTTAAAAACTGTCACTAGTACAGTTTTATTATTTAGTTCACTGTCTGATTATAAAATCTTAGTTAAAAATATACCATTTTATTTTAATTTAGCTTGCTGTTCTTGCTAATTTTTATGAAATGTTAATTTTA